GACATAATTCCCCTGAAATTAAATGAAATTTAAATATAGTTTATTTGAAAATACAAAGTAATTAAATTTACAAGGAAATACTTAAAGATAGGTACACTAGAATAAGGGAATAACTGCAGGTATTTTATAGAAAAGAAGACAAATTATTCTGTAATTAATATTAAGTACTACCTAAGTACTTTTAATTAGTGTATAATTCATGCATTTTGCAAGAAATTATAAATAATTGCCTTGTGAGTATTTTACAGAAAAGCAAACAATATATTTTTTTATTTTACATTCTAAGCTTGAAAGTGATAAAAATGACCCCATATTTCATCTGATAAAAACATTTTTCAGTATTTGCTTTAGTGTTTTACATCTGATAGAATCTTTCAGGTCCTGCTCAAAAAAAGTAAAACGGTGAAGTACTGTAGTCAAGTTATTGTTAACGCCCTTTCCTCAGCTTGCTGACCCAGTATCACTTTGACCTGGCAGTCATTGCACCCACCTTTTTTCTGCATATATTGACTGTTTAAAAGGTGATGAACTCTGGAGTTACTGTTGTGTAACCTGTTCTGTCTTTTTGCTGTCTCTCAGATTGAATCCATGATGTTGAAGCTGCAGAGGCTCCAGCAGAAAGCAATTCTGGACGACGATTATGACGCAGGTAAACCAGTTTAGCCATTTCGGTTAAGGTTACAAAATAACGACTTTATGAATGATTTGATAAGATTCTATTTATCTTTTTACTATTTGTTTTTAAAAAGTAAAGTTTAATATCCCTAAACACAATAACTTAAAGTTAGAGAAAAGAGCACAGTTCAAAGTGAAAATATTCTGACTCAGTGACCAGAAAGCCACAGGAGCTTAACACGTGCTGTCCTTCTAACTCATGAGTGTGCTTGCACTCACATGTTTGGATCATTTATCACTTTGATGTCAGCTTCTTTATTAAATTTCTTGCTAATTTGCTGTTCACCATACTGAGATGACCTGTGTGAAAGAACATGTGAGAGATAAGGCACAGAGCTTTTTAGTGCTGACTGTTTCGTACATCAGTAAGCTCTTTCCATGGTTGACTTACCTTTATTTTTATTTTTTTTAACTATCCTATAATGGTAAAACTAGAAAATCTTCAATTTATGTGGCTTAAAACAGAAAGTAGCACAGTTATTATGTCGACTCAAATCAAAATAAAGGGTATTTACAGAGAAATAAGGGAAGCTTTTACAGAAAAGTTTACAGGAAGGGGTTCCCCGTGATTATTGCAACGAAAAAACAAAGCTCAAACCTAACAAATATCATTTGTACTTGTACCTGACCTAGATATTGTAAAAAAAATATAAACAATCAAACCAAAAACTGCATTTTAACCCATTTCTTTTATTTTGTGATAGAACAAATACATAAGATACATCTGCTTCTGTGGTTAACACATTTGCATTACACACAGAAGATCCCTGGTTTGATATCAGGAGACAGAAATCACTGGGAGGGTTTTGTCAGGAAAGGCATCCAGCCTAAAAACCCACCATATTAAAACCATGTGTGTCTATCTGCACGTGGTGACCCCTGTGAATAAGGGAGCAGCTTAAAAACAGGTTTAAATACCAGTGTTGGGACTAACGCGTTATTAAGTAACGCGTTACAGTAACTACGTTATTATTGTGGTAACGAGCACGGTAACTAGTTATTATGCCAAAATCAGGAACGCGTTACTCGTTACTGGGATTTAGATAGGCTCGTTATTCGTTACTTCGTGTGGCGGCATCGCGGAGCTTCCACAGATTCAGTAACATTAGCAAGTGGTGGAAGCCAGCAGGTGGATGAGGGAAAGGGGAGGCAGGAGGAGAGACCCGAAGCGGCCGCCGGTCCGAGAGTGTCAGGTGAACTGAACTTCAGGTAAGAAGTTATGACCTGCAGTCATTCTGGGTCAGATATGAACCAAGTTTAGGTGGAGTTTATTTTCGTTATTCTGACTTTTTCGTACTGCGTGCTAGCTAGCATGACGGAGTTTCTATACAGCTGGGTGGTGCTGTGATGATAACGATGTTGAACTTTATTTTGTTCATAATTTATTAGAGTTGCCAACCGTCCCGTCTGGTAGTCAGAGAAAATATTACGCGTTTCTTATTGAGGTGAAAAGGAACAGTTTGTCCCGTAATTCACCTTCAATGAAAAAGACACAAAGCTGGAGTTATTCTGTGTTTACGCTGCACAGCTGCCTCTTCTTCTTTCATTCTCCCCCCTCCCTCTCCCGTTTCTACTTCAATCATGAAACTGATCAGTGATCAGCTGATCGGCTCTCTTGTTTGTTTATCGCTCACTTTGCGCCAGAAAGAGGAAACCAGCGGATGTCGCTCTAAACAACAGCAGCACGTTTAAGCTTGATCAGCTGTTGTTAGAATTTATTTAATATTAATTTCTAGTATCAGCTGATGTTTGCTGGAGCCACAGCTGTAAACCTGCTGGTCATGATATGGTTTGGTTATCTGGTGAGAGGGAAACATGAAGATGAAACCAGGAGATGTCCTTACTGGATCATCAGAGCTGTGATGGAGAAACAGGTTTACCTTTTAGGTGACATGAATGAGTTGAAGGGAAGTTATGAACTGTTTCTGAGAGACAAATAACCCCAGGATCCTTTTTTAGGTAGCTGACAGCTGGTAACTGTGCAGGGGCGGGTCTAGCAAAGTGTTGCCAGGGGGGGCATGTAGGGCATTAACAGGGAGAGGTGGGCACAAAGAAATACTTTTCTTTCTTATTCTTATTTAAAATATCTAGCTTTTAAAAAATAATTATCTGAATCTTACAACAAACGATTGATAGATTGATGCATATATACCATCAGAACAGTGAACATCACTGTCACAACAGTGTTTGTTTTCATTCAAAGGCTTTATGATTTTTGCTATAATGGTGGGCTCTAGTCAAAACGCCCGGGCCAATTTTCTGTCCCAGTCCAGCCCTGTATGCAGCTCATCTGCAGTCTGGTGTTACCTACATCTTCCTATTCAGAAGGCAGAATTTCCGAGTTCTGAGTACAATCGAAAGCACCACGACTGCAGTTTTTGTGTTGGATGTAAAAGGCGCACATGACACTGTGACGTAGGCTAGAATCATGGCAGCAGTCAATGACGGTTCAGGCGTGGGATTTCTCTCGTGGAAATATGCACGTTATTTTTTCCTTTCTATTGGTAGGTGGCACAGTGCAGTGTGGCAAGTAAGCAAGCTAGAAGACTGGCAAAGTTATGGAAGCAACACATTAACAAGAGAAGTCTGAGTAAAACCAAAGTTACTTTCCCTAGTAACTAGTTACTTTGAAAGTAACGAGTAACTTGAAGTAACTGAGTTACTTTTGAGAGAAGTAACTAGTAATGTAACTAAGTTACTATTTTAAAGTAACTTACCCAACACTGTTAAATACACATGTTTCTGTATCCTGTAGATCTGTTCGAACGTGCTTATTATTTGGGTCAGTGTTGTATGCCTTGGCTGGTGTTCTCCTCGTCTATTCATTCTCTGACTTATACGTTTAGTTTTCTGTTTTTCCACTTACACAGTGTTGGATTAAATAGCTGATGAGATTGGTTCTGTAAATTCTGTCTGTGTATGTCGTGCTTGCCATCTTTTAATTTAGCTATGAACCCGCCAGACTGGGATAATTCTAGTTTTATGTGTTTACAGAGCCAAGAAATGCAGATTTTTATTCAGGATTCATAAATACAGCAAGGTCAGAAATGTGCTCCCTTTAAATGACTTCTAGTAAAGGGCTAGAACACAACACCACTTGCTGATAACTGGACTCCTCTAGCTGATGTTTTCTGCATGTTATTCAGCATGTGTGTATGTGTGTTCACAGCTGAGCGCTTTGGGAAAAAGTTAGAGGAGCTGTCTAAGGAACGAAGCACTCTGAAGCTGGGTTTACCCTCCCAACAGCCCAGCGTGGCGTTGCTCCTGGAGAGGCTCCGACAGGCGGTGGACAGCGCCCTCCAGAGGGCAGACTGCAGTCAGTACAGGTCAGTGCTGAAACACTGAAACACTATATTTAAAACGTTAACTGCATACAATATATAAGGGGAATATAATATGAAATGTGGTTACACTGAAAATTACTTTTCCTGTTTTGTTTAGGACCTCGTTTTATATTGTGTGTCACTTAAATAAAAACAGATCTACTTTTATAGCAATAAACTCCCTTTGTTCAGGACATAATGGGGTTTATTTGAGTTCATAAGCTCATTCTCTCTCTTTTGTTGCAATATTATAGCACAGATCAAAGAGGGGGAGCTCTCCAAAATAGCTCTTGTGACAGGAAGGAAATCAGGTGGGGCCTCTTCAGAGAGTATCCCGAACAAATATAAGCAAAAGGATTTTAGGTCACCTCTGATAAACAGCAGATTTTCCACTGTCACAGAGGTATTTGATGAGAATCTGTGGGAAAAAGTGATTACACACAACCATACTGTATATTACCCATCTGCAGCTCTCTTTAGCTTTGACTTACAGAGATTAAAAGCAACATTAAATGTGGATTAACCTCCTGAAAATGTTAATCAAAGCTGTTAAAAATGATGTCATTTTGTGGCAGGGAGTGTGCAGAGCCTGTTGCAGGGGAGCAATCCGACTCATCACAGGGTCCACTGCAACGAAGAGAACGTCTGATACGAGAGAGACGGCTTGTCGAGGTAAATTCGGCTCATGTCGTTCCGCTTTGTACGTCAGGCTGGTCTGAGTTACTGCTCCTCTGAGAATTTAATAAAACAGCTTCTTTCCTTGCTCACAAAAGTGAATGAAATTTGTAAAATATGCATAGCTGTCAGCAGTATTTACACTGACAGTGAATGAGTGTGAACAAGATTAATTAATCTCACTGCTACTTTAATATCAAACAAACTATTGATTAACAATTCTGATAAAAGCTAATAACTCACCAGTCAAGTTTCATTCAGTTTCAGATTAGGTGTTTGAATTTTTCATTCAATCTGCTGGCTTAAAAAACTGAAGGACTACTTCACTGTTGCTGATTACCTTCATAGAAACTATGTTATTTCTAACATACATGTAAAATGAATGAAATGAACATTGCTCCACCTCTGCAGGAGGAGATCGCAGAGCTGCAGCAGAGACTGGTGGAGCTGAAGGACCGTAGCCGGTGTCTGGAGCAGCAGATCCAGCAGGAAGAGCAACAGGTGGAGGCTGAGGAGCTGGAGGCCTCCGTGCTGAGGAGCTGCAGCACGGCTCAGCTTCGCGACATGAGCCGAACCCTCCAGGACCTCGTCGCTTCTGAAAATCGCACACAAATCTCAGTCTCTCGTCCTCCCTCCATGCTCAGGTCAGCGCCATATATGTGATGATTTGCTTGCTTAAATGTCACATTTGTGACACGAAAGGCTGTGTTTGCATGAGCCGAAAAAATAGGAAGTGGAAAAAGTGCAAGTGGAAAAATAGAGAACTAAACAGTTGTGTCTTTTTGAGCATAGTTAATAATAATGCTTTCATCTTGTTTGAGTGGTTGCATGAAATAATTAAACATTTAGAGCCTCCTTTAGCCTCCTTTACAAAGCTGCAGGTAATGAATGAATGAAACATGCTGTTCCCAGGAACAGAAATTTACAAATGAGGATAAAATGATTATTATTTATTATATATGCGCAATGACATGCTTTAACTCTGTATTCCTCAAAGCTTACAAAAACCAAGAGTTATCCTCCAATTTACACACAGTATATAAATCTTCTCTGCCTCTAAAAAAGCACTGAGAAAGACTGGAACGAGAACTAGTCGGAGATGAGTCTAAAGAGCCCAGAACAACTGCCACGCTGAAATGTGCTAAGAACAACCTGGGGAAAGATTGTTCATACTGGAAGTGCATCATTTGGTGAGATGAGATGAAACTAGAGCTCTTTGGTCACAGACAGATGGGAGAGGCGTATAACCCAAACAGCACCGTCCCCACAGTGAAGCACAGTGGTGGGAGTGTTATGATGTGGGAATGATTCAACGTTTCTGGAACTGTAATCTCCTCAAAAACACTTCATCACTAGTAATTCTGTCCTCATCTGTATTTAGGGAAAAACTTCAAACGAGGGAATCAAAGCCTTCACTGCAGATCTTTGGATGTATTAAAGGCGTTTTGCTCTCCAGGATCTGCTTCTGCTAGCGAGCAGAATAGTTAAGAAAATGTGCAAATGTATGTGAAAAATGGAAATTGAGGTCTTGAGCATTGAGAAAACATTTTCACACCTTTTGAATTTTGCACGTCGGTATTACAGTTTCTCCTGTCGGTCGTTGGACTCTCAGTTTGATTGGTCGAGCCGGATCTAACACCTAAACTGTGAAAAGTGTCCGCTGATTGGGCCTTTGCATGCATAACCTTTACTCAGAACTAGTTTGAAGGTAACATAATTTGTGTTGTTGTGTTAATTTGATGTATTTCTACTTACATATTTATATACAATAGAGGAATCGGCACAGCGTATGTCAGGAATGAGGAAAACAAGCCCTGAAGCTGACAAATTGCCAAACATCACAGCATCCTCCATGACAGCTATTTGTTTATCCACTTTATGATGGTTTCCTCCTCTGACAGCAGGAGGACTGGAGTTTTAAACATAATTCTTCACTGTAAATTTAGAAGAAGTATTTTTGTTACCTGATGCCAGCTTAATAGACAGGTAACGTTTATCCAGTGCAGTCAAAAGGTTTTGTATTCTTTCATTTTTCATAAAAACTCCAGGAGGTGCATCTCCTTATTTAATCTTACTCAAAATGTGCAGTAGAAGCCAGATTTGTATTTAATATTACTTTACTGAAAATATCAATTAATTTGGGCAAAATTAGCCACAGTAATGATAATTTAACCTTGTGCAAGATCTTGGTGTGGTTACTATGCATAAAGCATTTGTTTAGTACAAGTCTGTCAGATGTGCTCACTTCTTATGCAGTGGTCAGTATTTGTATTTGTGCAATACCTGGAACGGCCAGGTGGGGCTGCTATAGAGCTGCAAATGCTGGTGACCATGCAACAGTTTGTCCATAGGGTTTTTTTTCTCTTTCCCCATGTTACATACATTTAATTAGCCCATTTTGAAGTTGATGTGTCAGCGGCGATCTGCTGTTTCTAAGTCATCGCCTCTCAGCTTCATCCATCCTTAGACAAAGCGGCACTTTGAATAAATCTTTCAGCAGAATTGTCAAAATCACACCATCACGTTTCAACCAAATCAACACCTCCAGTAACAGCACAGAAGACACCTAGCCTTGCATTTACATGAATCATTACCCTTTTTATCAGCTTACAGGCAAAATTGCTCACTTTGTTCGGTGATCGACAGGTCTGCCCATGCAGCACTGGATGCCTATTGTTCCTGGAGAGGTTCAGCTCATGTATTTCAGGTCTTTATAAACAAAAGCCACTGACAAATGGATGTAATGTAAAGCAGTTTGCAGCCCTTTAGGAGTAACTTGTTTCTTAGATTCAGAGAGGACAGCTAGTTTCTTATCCCACGTGCCTTCAGTCTTCTTCTCTCACACCTGCTTGAACCTGCTTTGAATTTTAATGGCTTTTTTCTTAGATGCTAACGATCACTTTGCATCATATCCTCTGAAGTTAATAGCTTGCAAGGGAGCACTGTGGAAAGCCTCTCCGTCTTGCCACTCGTTAGAAAGACATGTAAATTGTACTTATCGCCTTCTTGGCGGTGTGACCCACCACCACTGGCATAATTTGATATCTGGCTTATTCTCACCCCGGCTGAAACGCATTTATTCTCGTTGCTGATTGAAATTGCGACCTCAGATTGGATATTCAGCTGCACATCTGTGGGTGGCTTGCCACGGGTCACCGTGATGATTGTGTTGCAGTCGCCCCTTTTCCAAACAACACAGGATATTTCTGTCTCGTATTAGGTTTTTTTCCACACGAATACTGAATTAAAGAAATCCACTCGGCGCTATAAGACTGATGTTCAGAGACAACATTTAACTCTGACTCACTCTGAGCATCAGCTTGAATAACATGGAGTGGACATAATGATTTTTGTGAGACAATTGGGACTGTCTCAAGGTGACTGTACTGTGCATAATGGATTTTATGCTCATTTTTCTCCATCTTGTAATTGATTTAGATCTGTCACCAAGTAGTGTGACCTTAATGGGTTGTCCTGTTTTCCCTTATTGTCTGAAATATTGGGCTAGAGTTGAATCCAACAGGCCAGTTAAAGAAAACACAAATATTGAGCCATATTTTACAATGGAAGGTGTTTTTCAGGTTCAGTCTTCTCTTTATTTTGATGTAGTTTATTTCAGGTCAGTATTCCAAAAAGGGGCACACTCGCTCACAGCGTTTCTCTTTCTTACGCTAAAGTAAGCCACCCAGATGCAGGCTCAAGCTTCACTGGTTACAGCATTTGATTCCAAATGCAAAATTTAAAGCTCGTGTC